CGCCCAGGCCAAGGCCCGATAGGGCTAGAGGGACCCAAGTCCCACCGGGCAGCCACCGGGCTGAGCCGGCACACGCCCAAGCACCTAGCCCCGGACAACGAGAGCCACCAGTGTGCCGGTGGGCAAAGGCACAACCCACCAGAGGACAGCATGGCAGGGGAGTAATGGGTCCTCAAATGATCCCGAAGAAGGGGCTGCCCAAGTCCCAGCCTGACAAAAATACAAGCATACACAAACACAGTCACACAGTCCCACCCTCATCCTCTCACCCACTCATTCAAAAACACACAAGATGGACGCCACAATGCACTCACACTCCCCATACATACTCTTTACCCCCAGGTTCAGGATATACACCCAACCCCTGTAGAGGGCAGCTCACACCTGAACCCAGGAGGTAGACCCCTTCAATCTGGGGTGGAGAAGAGCAGACAGCCAAGTCCCAGCCCGGGCCGCACCAGTCCGACCGACCAGCCCCCTGCCCCAGCAAAGTCACGCCCCGGACCACCCCCACACCCTACCAACGGCCAGGTGCCCACCCCCAAACAACCACCCCCAGACTCTGGCAGCCACCCCAGCCAGCGGGCCAACCACAGAAACCAGGAGCCAGACTCCTGGAGCCCGAACAGCCCCAGGGAAGCCAGAGTGCCAGCCCTGCCTCCAGAGCCCCTCCAAGCCCCATGTCCGCCCGCAGCCTAGGCCCCACCAGACGGTCAGCCCCCTCCCCCCAGGACCCCATCCCCAGATGGCCAACGGGGAACGGGGGAGTGAAAAAGACCCCGACACCCCCCCCACCCTCAGATGTACTGTTGATGCGTGATGTTTTACATGCAATTAAAACAGGGAAGAAGACAGGGCAGAGGCCAGCACTATGCCAGTTTCCCCTCCACCCCAACTCTAACCCTAACCCTCCACCCCAACTCTAACCCTAACCCTAAATGTCTAAAAGCAAACAATGTGAGTGGGCACAGGCATCAGTGGCGAGACTTTCCCATCCCGCCCCTTACATGCATAAGTGCCCACTCCCAAGTTCCTATGTGTAAATGTTATGAGGTTATGAGATTATGAGTAAATGTCTAAGGTGTACAGTAAAATTGGAGCCCAGGTGGCGACAGCAAACAGATGTAAA